CCCAAATGGACAACGCCTGTTAAACCTAACGGAAAATGTTCTGCCTGAAATTCTTCCGAATGTTTCTACTCATAAGGGCGTAGAATGATCCACGTGATTAGTCAATATGGATATGAAGGATACAATTAAAGCGTTGTGAGTTCCGAAATTGTGTCTATTTCGTTACTAGTACAAGCAATCAACTAATCCCATGAGATTAATTTTCCATTTTCCTAATTCCGACAACTAGCTACCACCAAAAATCTCAAAGACAAATGCGGTTGTACTTCGAATTTCGAAAACTCCATCCACGGGGATAAAAGCAGTTCGCAAAAACATCTCTTTATTAGAGAAACGATCAGCTTTACAATCACAATTCTCGTTAACGCAGAACTATCCTCTCGAGAAAACTCCTCATAGAGGAGATAATTTCGGAGGGATAAAAGGTTCCCCCAGTGATATTCTTCCCGTTCTTCGAGTATAAGATCAGTTTTGTCCTCCCAGCGGAGTGATTTGCTCCTCAACAGGATAGAACACAGTGGAAATTCTGTCAGTGATTTAGATTGTTTAGCTGGCTACCACTACAGAATTTCCCAGACTCAGCTAACAACCTAATTCGCAACGTTAACCTGCCCTCTGACCGAAGTTGTTTTTACTCAGCTAATAATATAACCTCGATTAAGCAGACGGCATCATTTGTTGGCATACTTTACAGTAGGAACACCGACTGCAGGTAATGAAGGTGGAGGATAATGTGAACCAACGCATAATAACTCATTATTTCCTGATTTTTCAATAACCATCGTCGTTTCTCGCGTTACATAGGACTATATCTCCGCAATGATTTATCACGTTTAGTGGTTTTTGTTCAAACCTAGCTAGTGCTCAAAATGTGGGTGTTTCGCAAAACGAAAGTGCCTGAGTTGATTCCAGTGTGAGAAATCTCAAGTAATAGATGTTCAGCCCAAATACCCAACGATTATGCTTTCTATATCGATCCGATGAAGGCTACCTCAGAACTTGTTTCTGGATAACAGTACTGAACATCTGCCACCGTCGTTTGTAACTTCCATAAATAGGATTCTGCTAACCGGGCGAAGAGCAGTGGATTGGTTGTCCGTCAATCAAATGGGGCGGAATCGATCGTGTCTAGAGACTTTAGCGGTTAGATTAGGAGTGTAGAGGCTGAACTGAAACCATATGAAGACAAAATATCAGATGACTAGCGAATAAAACCGTGTTGTGCGCATCAATTGGGAGTGAACTGATCCACCGGTAGAAAGCGACAGGAAGACTCTAAACCAGTCAGTGCCGCTTGAGACTGAGTGGCCGAGTTTCCAAAGTGATTAATTGCATGGGAATAAGCCACGAGATCAGTTCAATTGTGATTCAATTCTTTTCAGTTCTTTTCACAAAAGAACTGAATGTAGCTGATGGTTGACCCGCTCAGCAAACCTACGCATCCACCGGAATTCATAGGTAATAAGGTGGCTAAAGAAGTCGGTTGAGTTATACGGGAAAATAAACAAGGCTCTCCCATTTTGTGGGTATTGATTAACCGTTCAGGCCCGAGTTCCACCATGAATGCCGTTGCCGCTTCAAATCAGTCCAGATATACCGGTAGATGACTCATAAGAACAAGTTATGCTGCTGCACTGTCAGACGGGTGTATCAACCAACTGATTTATGCTCTCGCTTTGAAACATGCAGTTAGCTGGCTGTGATCAGAAGGGCTTTCAAGTTACACAGCACCGACTTAGTCATTCGAAGTGAAGGAAACCACTTCTAAAGAGGAAGCAATGTTCAAAAACAAGACTGGTGTATGAAAATGACCTCCTGTTGTTGCTGCAAACGATGACTAAAATGTCTCAAGCAGTCTTAGCAAAAGTACGGTTGACTTTCAACAATACCTCGTCAGTAGAGTTGAGCAGAGGTTCGATAGAAGAGGACAATAAATCAAAGACTTGGGTTTCTGAAGAGTTGTGCTAACTACGACCTTAAGCAGGCTCACCGGGACAAGTGTGTAGCTAGTAATTAACCGTTTAGATATGCAACAAGCATTCCGTCGCAGCATAGGCGTAGGTCCGAATGACTTTAATCAAGAGGACCATGGCGTGTGAATCAGCAGAATATGAAACAGAATGTAAAGGTTCGCGTGATATCAGGATGATCCGATTTCCAGCAACGGATCTGTCTCTCCCTCGCACCATTTGACCTTGGACGTTACAAGCAGACATCATCCGTTCTAATAGTTTCTATTACCTGTGTGACAGACATAGGAGCAGCAAATAGGAGCAGTTGTATTAGCCTATCTGATTTGTTCTTTTAACCAAGAAGGAGTCTTACTTTGTATCAATCATCATGAACGTACTCCGATAGTGGTGCTGAGAATCACGACAATAACATCCACGATTACAGTAACAGAAAGGCTGTCTACTGCCGGTAATACGTAGTTAGTCATGTCTCACTATTCAGCAAATGTTTGCCACTAAGGGTAGTATGGCTCTTGGTCGCTGTCTGAAAACATCCCTATGAGTCTTTAAGATAACGATGTACTAGGAATAGCTCTGATAAAGCAAATTTACTGACCACAAGTCGCCGGGAAAATGTCACGACAGCCTTAAAACCTATGTATAAATCCTAAGTACGGGTGCCGAAACCGATCAGACCAAGAATCTTAGCCAATGTCAAAGTCATTGGAATACTCAACTTCTCGTGCATGCTTTGCTTTCGAAAGTAACTTGCTCAGACACTACCACTCATGAGGAAAAAGTGCATCATTTTTATGTTGGGCTTTCAACCTGATTGAATTTGGCTTCAATGGATTCTGCTCGTCTTGCGTATGTTCGAGCGGAAGGACATATATAAAGTGTTGCGTTTTTCTGTTTTGCCTTATTCACCAGGAGACTATGGGGATTTACCGGCCACCCGTAGTTGCAAAACTATGGGTACATAGAGAAGGAACACTTACGGGCTCAAGATAGCTCAGCGGCTAAGGAACGAAACTATTGGCCAGAAGCTACTTGGTTTGAACGAAATCCTAGTTTTTCTATTACTACTGTCTAGGTCTAGACGAGATGGCTCAGTGGTCTGGGTGCGAAGGTCCGTGGTTCGAACCCGACCTTTGCCTCCCGACTTCCCCTGTCTAAGATTGGGCAAACTGCCAGTATCCCAGCCCTCATACTTCCTTCGGGTGGTTTGGCAGCTAGGCACCGAAAGGGTGTTACAGCTGAACGATCGTAATTCTTTTTGTCCCGGTTTAGACAACCTGTTAGGAACGCAACTCTCATTCTTCCTTCTAGTCGCGCGTCAACTATGAACCGAAAGTGCGCCAAAGCTGAAACAGTATTTTACTTATTGTTCACTTATGGGTACGAAAAGTAAGCTGCAGAAATCGACCTACATTAGCGATGTGTTTTGAGCCTAAATTGGTTGTGAACATTGGAACGTAGCAAGGTTAAATAAGCCGCTTGATTCAATCAAGTCACTAAGCCTCAGGAAGCTACTACATGCTAAATTCGGTGCAAATAACGTGACTTAGCGCGCATTAAACTTACGTTCAAACAATCAGGACAAGCGGAAGTCTAAACACACACACGCTAGACTATCGATTGATAGAGATGCATGAGAATCAGCATCGACATACGGAACAACAAACGCTTTGAAGAGTTCAGAAAACGGGAGTAGAGATGTCGTATGTTAATCAAATCTCAAACTTACATTTTCCATCTGAAGCCCATACGGCAAAGCGAGTGGCCGAAACCTTCATTGAAAAAGTCGATCAGGGACACTTTTCACCTAGCTCTTATTGCCGAGAACAGACTGCGCAGATCCTACCAGTGGAATACGGTGCTCCTTCTGAAAAGCGTGCAACCTCGGGACGACAGCTACCAAACCTAAACGACAAAAGGATGAGGTGGCACGAGCGCAAAACATGCTTTTCAGCCTACGACCAAGCTGATCTCTTCTTGATACTGCTCTCTTGATACTGCTCTCTTGATACACAGTCCACCTTGGAGGTAGGCCGTATGGGACCGAGTTATCCTGTGATCTTAGAAACGTATTCCCCTCCGAAACACGCAGGAAAAACAATATAAGAAAAATCACGAAGATCACGCTTGCCCAACCACACTGTTATCGTTGTTTTGTTTCAGATGTCAGTTACGTTTTCATGGCCTGTTAACCTAAAATGTTTCCAACCTCGTGACAAACTCACGCAAATCAACTACACGAGTCAGAAACAAACTTGTTCCAGACACCCGTGGTGAACGAACAGCTATGCGGGCGATCTTGACCGCAAACAGATTCGTCGAACCCTTCGCACTGAGAAAGAGTGGAGTGGACGCAATGGGCCTGCAAAAGAGCATCTTTTAGGGAGACTTATGAATATTCAACCACTGGCTCAGCGTCATTTCAGTCGGTGTGCGTACAAAACAACGCATCGAAACAGTGCACCGTATTCCACAGCGATAAAAATACGTTGATGCAACGGATACGTTTAAGATGCATAGGTCATGCTGCCATCCCGGCCGCCGGTCAACAGCCAAAACTAGCGTTTCCTACAGTGAAATTCATGTAAGATTTTAGGTACGAGAATGGTTCAATCATCGGTTTTGCTACTCCGTTATAGCATATGCTTACCAAGCAAACGACTTCGCCACTGTAGTTCAACGGAACTGAAATC